GTGACTATTTTTTTTTTCTTTTTTTGTTATATATAACGTTGCTACCGCGTTTTTATATACAAATATATAGATTCTCCTGCGGCTTGGCCCTGGCTTATATCGTATATACCTCTATACTTGTATATCTATACAGCTAAACTTTCCTCTAACATTTCTATTGTGCGTCGGGCGCGTCGTTTACCCGGCTCTTGTATATATAGACATTCGTTTTATACCCACCTACCCACCTACTACTCGCCTACTACTCTTCTGCCGTGTTGGTTAACGCTCGACGAGCGCGAGGAGACACGAGAGCGGAACAGAGAGCAGCAGCAAAAAAAGGAAGGCGGGATAGAGAGAGAGAGAGAGAGAGAAAAGAGCCGTTGGATGCCGGAGAGACAAATCGCTGCTCGAGATAAAAAGTGCGAGTGTGAATATATATGTGTATACTTATACACATACACGAGAGGTGCTGATGCTTACTGCGGAAAAATGTTGCGTGAATTCGCGCGACCGGATCACCGCGTGCGCGCGTGCGTGTGTGTAAGCACATAGCGCTGCTGCTGTGCGCAGTGACAACGTGCAACTACGAGGCTCACGCGAGCGAAGGGACTTTTTTATATCCATAATATACGTATTATATATCGCTCGCGCTCTGTTCGAGCTTCAACAAAAAGTTGCATACGCGGTGCCGTCGTATTAATATTTTTTTGGGCTAAATAATGCACTACAAATTTTCTAACACACGCGATCGAGCCTATAAATAGTCGATCGAAATTACCACATACATAAAAAGAAAAATATTGGCGTCGAAATTCAAGTATTCGCGAACGTTATGCATCATGCATTAGTCTCGATGCATTTTCTGCAGCTCTCGTATTATCTATGTATACATCAGGTGCACTTATATGTATACGTGCGACAGTTCTTAAATGTCACGGGCGAGGTACTGCCGTAAATGTTCTGTACATATATCTATAGCTGCTGCTGCTGCTGCAGTATACGTTGCATACGTATGTGCAACGTACGATTGTCGTGTATAGTCGAGCAGCAGCTCAATGCGAAGCAGCAGCAGCAGTGGTGGCAGTGGTAGCATCACATTCAGCATTGCACTTCAGGCTGGGAAAGAGAAACATACTAGCTGTGTGCGCACGTTTCGCAGCTCGTATTTCACCGGATCGTCGTCGTCGTCGTCGTCGTCGTCGTCGTCGTCGTCGAGTCGTCGTCGTTGCGCGAGCTTCGCGCTCTATACGTGTACAGAGCTTATATAAGAGACTTTTAGCTTCCCTCAGACTCTCTCTCTTTTTGTCTTTCCTTTCCCTCCCTCTTATATAGTGTATATGTGTGTGTTTATCGCACCCTCGCAGCAGCAGCAGCAGCCGTAACGCACGTTCTTTTTTTACTTTTACTTTTCGACGCTCATCCGCGGTTGCGCGCGGCGGTTAAGGAACTTTTGTTTTCTGTTTATATTATAGACCTCTGCAGTATTCGTAGAGAACACACCACCGACACCGACTGCATCGATTTTTTTTCTACTCTTCGCATTACATACTTTGCCGTGTCTGTGAGTGTGTGCGTGTGCGTCTGTGGGTACGTGTTGAGTTTATCTGGGATTTATTGTAGGTGACAGCTTATTTATCGGGTCATTGAAAATGATTTTTGTTTTTATAACACCCGGTGCAACGAACATGGTGAGAGTAAACAATTTCTGAAAATGACAAGCTCGAAATGTAGTATGCGAACTAATTCGATGCCCCACATAGATATTGTTCATCACGCTTATGATGTATCACGTGTGTGTGCTTACATTGACTCAACATTTTTATTATCGCTCCATTCTAATAACAGTAAAATTATTTATCGATGTGTATTTATAGTTTTCGATTATAGTGTAGGAAATTAATTGGATTTCAGCGAGCTAAGAACTCAAATGTTGTTAATTTCGAATTTATTAAAATTCAGAGGCAACGCTTCGACAACTATTAGTTCATTTCGTATTTCACGTACTTTACTTCGTAATTTACGTCATTTTCACCAGTGTGACCAGTATAAACATTTTATTTCTCAAAATTAGGATCAATAATAGTTTTCGATGATAAAAAATGCTTCTAGATTCTAGATAATTTGAACACCAGAAATTAAATTCCAGGGTCCTTTTCTTTGGTTGAGTTTTCTTTCTGGAACTTAATTCAAGTTTTCACGATTTTGAATTTTTGTTTTTGATTAAATTTTTGACTTGTTTGTGGAAAAAAATTTGCGGTAATACCAATTTCAGTCGCTCTTGTATGTTCAAAAATGATTAGCCACTTACGAGAACGACATTTCAATATACGCCACCTATGGATCGATCTTGTGAACCATTGTATCGTTTATTTATATTTTGTTGCGTTAATAAAAAGCAGCAAAATCACCATTCATAATTACCGTTTGTACGAAGAAGTCACGGTGCATAAAGACGACAATAATCGAAGCCTAGCTTCCCACGTTCACAAGCATGAACAATATGAAAAAATAAAAAAGGAAATTCTGAATTTCGTCGTGAGAAATTGGGAGCACGAAAAGAACCGGTTCCATCTGCATATGTTCGAAGAAAGGCCGAGCTTACTTTGCGAGGCCCTGACAAAAAAGGTGTACTTGGAGCACATGAGTGCTGAGGGAGTGTATGGCGAGGCGTTTGAAACTTAAATATTTCAGAAAATCTATCATGCATCAGGTGCAGAAAAAATTACCGCCACAAATAAATCTTTCGTCTAAGAAAACCTCAAAAATGTATATACTTTCAACTGGGACTAGACACTTGCAAGAGCGACTTTTCCGCAATGCGCCACCTAGCGATCGGGTTTTAAACTTGAAGTAAAAAGTGAGTAAGTTGACACAATAATAAATCCATATCTACGTCGAGTAAAAAAATGAGTGACGCAAATTTATTCCGATCAGGCAAACAAAAATAGACTATAGCCTGCTCATCGCCTATGCAAAGGAGTTTTCTCCTGCTGCATGTCCAGTGTCAGATTCAGCGTGAGTGAAAAAAGACATACATGCACGACGCTTCGTAACCGTTTAAAAGGAAAGTGAGTGCCAAGCTTAATTCTGCTTGGAACGCAATAGATGTGTAAACTACCTAAAGACGTTCCTGAGTCTCAAAACCTATAAGATTGTTCGTTTCTCGCACTCTTTTCGTGCACTCGTTCGTTTTTTATGGATTCCCCAGCCTATATCCAACGAAACACAAGAAGTTTTACATCAAAAATTGTCTTTCCATCGGAACACTTTAAATACACATGCAACACATCGCATAACGAGAAATCATTTGACATGACGTGACATTTGCCAAGGGTAGCATAAACCCGCGGCTGCATATCCCTCGTTCCTCAAAAAGAGAAAGTGTACATTCATAGATGGATGGAGCTGCCTGCGTATAGCTTTATACGATACAGATATATTATACTTCACAGGCTATTCAGCGTCTCATTTCACGCGGCTACGATCTTGTCTCCTGTACCACTCAATCGACCGCTCTCCCCCAATACAGAGTACAGTGAACGTGAACGCAAAAGAAGCGATGTGTCGTCATTTCTGCAAAGAGAGAGATAGAGAGAGAGAAAGAGAGAGAGAGTGACGCGTTTCGCGCGCGCGCACCTCCATGATCGCTGTATAATCCCTGCGCTCTCTGTACGCGGCGCGTCTCGTTTCGACAATGCGTGTCCCGATGCGCGATGATCGACCTCCACGCCGTCGTCTATGTACGGTATACGCGCGTACATTCGCACGCACGTAAATGCATGCATACATGGCTCTCTTAATTAAATTCTCTCTCAAGAGCTTTTGATCAAGTCAAGTCAAGCGTGTATATGACTCTTGGGTGCAGCATGAGCTCTCTCTCTCTCTCTTTCCCTCTCGCTGTCTATATTTTATACTGACTGCGTGCGCGCCTCGTGTTGCGTACTTACGATATATATATCATATAACGTACCTCGTTGCACGTTCCAAATTAAAGATAAAAAAAAAGAAAGAAAAAACAGCGCGTGCGTTTTTTTCATTTTCTTTTCGCGTGCTCGCGACTACTACTTAGCGACAAGCTTTTCATCTTTATGTACTACGCGGCGACGACGACGACTGCAACAACAACAGCAACGCAGCAACCGCAGCGCTTGCTTCGCGAATTTTGTACATTATGTTAATTATAAAAAATTTAATCAGCGCAGAATCGTGCAGCTTTGTGTCGGCACAGTCACTTGGACTTCATTATCTCTTTCTTCCTCTTTTTTTTTTGCTCCTACTTTTCAACCGCACAGCTCGCTGTGACAGAGTCGCGACTTCAAAGTTTCACTAGACTTGACTGTTGCTGCTGCTGCTGAAGACGCGCTTCATGCAAGCTGCCATGCTGCTGTCCCCGATCTCCGTATATTACGAGTCCTGCAGGAGCGAAGGCGCGTAATGAACCGAGCGCAGCAGCTTCGTTCGGGTTTTTCGTTCGTTACATGAATACCGTATTACAACCCCAAGCCCGTGAGCTCGCTTGAAAATTTTCGAAATTATTAAAGATTACCATTATATTCTACAAATTATTACAACGCGCGTTATTTGTAAATTAGTCCACGGAATTGTAAAAGAAAAAATCTCTGCGTCGGCAAACGAGCACGAATTTATATATAATTCGTTTGGGCTTGGCGAGCTTGCACACAGCCGTATAGTACCTACGATAAAACGCCAAGCTCAGCGGTAATAAAGCAGAGCTCGAACGCAGCATTCATAATTTCATCACAAAAGCTGTGCAGTGTATGTATGTGCCTTAGCTGGTGCGTATTAATATTTTAAAGAGCGCGTTGAATTTTGCGCGAACCCGAAACGCCCGCCATGCGTGCGTTGCGAGTCGTTGGAAGCACCTGCCATACACGCTCTTGTATTCGTGCATCGTACCGCGCTTCACATTATATTTATTTGTTGCACATGTCACTGCCTTCTTATTTCTCTTAGCGAGAAGCGAAATTATAAATCTATGCTTTTTTGTATCTTTTCAGCGGGTCCGCGCAGTCAACGACGATCCTTGGAGAATCGGCAACAAAACCACCGCAGCAGCCACGAGCATTAGCAACAGCAGCAGCAGCAGCATCATGACGAGGCGCAGCGGTGGTCGGTGGAGCTTGCTGCTCACTGCCGTGACTTGGCTGGCGATTCTATTCCCCGGCCGCTCGATCAACGGCGAGCTTTACACGGCCCTCGTGGACATGGAGGAATTGCTGACCACCGAGTCGGTGCTCATCGACACGCTCAACGGCTTCATCAGCGCCCAGGAGCAACGATTGGCCACGCTTAGAAGGTAAGTCGATGCATCATCGCACACACGTGTTTTTTTATCATATAAGTTACACTGTACCCCAGTGACAGCTGCTCGAGAAAGAAAGAACTATGATGAACGCTTGACACGCGAGAAGTTACAACTCGATCGAATTTCAAAGTTTTTTTCGGCGTCGAGTCACGAGTATCCAATTTTTTTTTTTCGAGTATTCAAGTTTTTTTCCGAAAAATCAGGTACTCGCACACCCACAGAAGCTTCCACTTCGCTCCCAAAGCCCGAGACACAAAAAGTTAACGAGATTGCTTTATTTTGCAAAGCATCCAGAAAGGCAGAGCAAGTAACATCAGGACCAGCAGAAGCTCCGAAAGTAGATTAGACTTTAACCTACCCCTTCTCTGCCTGTCGACTGAACTTGCTCTTTGTCTTTCTTTCTCTCTTCATGCTCTCGTGCTCTATTTAGATATTCTCCAGGGGTTTTTGCGCGCTGCGCTCATATTATGTCGTGCAGTAGTGTGACGCGCTCGCGAAAGCTCGAATGAAAATTCATCGAGCTACGACGACGAGGAGTATGCTGTACTGCACATGCTCGCGTTGCTCGTTGGCCCACACTGCACTCGTTTTGTATAACTTAGTTTTTTTTTTGTATACTCCATGATTATTTTAATCTCGAGTAAAACTAAAGCGAGAACCGTGCGCGCGTGTCATTTACTTTTTGAATTTTCCAACCCGCGTGACAACTCGCAGCAGCGGCAGAGCTTTTGATCGTCGGAGTGACACTCGACGTTTTTTTTAATATGTATTATTCAACGGAGTCTCAGCTCTACGCGCTCAAGCCGATAAATTCGTCCTCTCTCTCTCTCGCTTTCAGGGCGGCATAAAAAATGCTGTCTTTTATTCGGGCTAAAAAGTGCAATTATTATATAAACATTGAAGCTTTCTCGCGCGCTCGCGAGCTTGCATTCATAAACATTTACATCGAGAAGAGTTGCGGGCGTTTATGCGTTAACTCGCACCGACCTTTCTCTGCTGTGCGGAGCTCGCTGTCTCTGCATGTCTCTCTCTCTCTCGGTTTCTGCAAGCGACAGTTTTATTATACGCGGCCTTGCTGGTGGTAGTAGTGGTGTAACTCTCGCACACGCGTCGATGTAAATGGCCTGCGCGAGTGCGTATACATAAAATTTTTTTGGCCTATACGCGTTTTCGCGCGCAGCTCGAGCCCGAGAAATGTGTTGTATTTTCATTTTGCCGCCTGCACGCAGAGAGGAGAGCTTCGAGTGCATAACTTATGACGCTCGAAATTTACATTTTACGCGCGTGCAAAAATTCACAGCCTTCGTTTTCTCCCGCATATTCTGCCGTATATATTATAATGGGTGTATGTGCATCCGCTCACGAGCAGGCGGCACGAGGTGGTGGCGGCGGCGGCGGCGGCGACTCGGCCTTTACAATTTTGTAAACTTTGTTTCTTCAATTTATGGAATACGATCGGTAGTGCAAGCACGGACGCGTGTCGGCGTGAGAAAAATCAACAGCAACAGGAAAAAAAACGAGATATCCAGTGACGCGCGAACTGCATGAGAGAGAGAGAGAGAGAGAGAGAGAGGGAGGGAGGAAGAGAGGTATCGCGCGAGCTAGAAAATACGAAAAAGCGAAGCGTCGGAAAATGAAGGACCTGGGAACAATCAAAGCTCATGCGGCTCACGTTTCGCGCGTGTACAGAGGCACGCATGGGGGTAAAGAAAAAACAAAAACATCAAGAAAATCGAACTGCTTGGAAAAATCAGCCTAGGGAAATGCACATAAGGATCTCGTTACGTATGTGCATGCGTGCATACGTGCGTATCTGCAGTACATATACGATCTTGTACTCTTCGATGGTGAAACTATTCTATTCTTTTTATTTTATGATGCGGTAAGGAATGCCTACGAGCCTGATGTACTCACGGTGATGATTCGTGCAGCGAGCGAAAGATGAAGGCTAGTTGTGCATTCGCTGCCGCGAAAGATTGCCCTTCTCTCGTCTCCCGCCTCTCTCCTCTGTCTCCGTCGTCACTTCATTTTCTTCCTCTCTTTTGTTTTCGAGAAAAGAGAAAAATATTTCACTCGTGGTTTGTAAAAATAAAAAAGGCATTCTTACGGAAGAATGGCGTGCTTCGCTGCTCTGTTGCTCGAAGCTCTCGTGAATGTTTACACTGCGCTGCATTGCCGCTGGTGCTGCCTACTGCTCTGCAACCGCACCGGAAAGTTGGCAAGTTTGGAAATGTTTGGGATACTCGTTACGAGCGAAGCTTCGGTAATTTTTCGACTCTCTCGTCCTTTTTTTTCGTTACTTTTTTTACATTCTTTCATTTAGAAAACATATATATTTTTTTTTCAACGACGAATCTTGAACTTGAAAATTGCACTCTGCTGTCACTGCAAAATGCGACTCGCTCCACCCCCTCGCTAGCGATGTCTCGTCGAGCAAAAAATCCTGCGCCTATTGCAAAAAATTCTCGCTCGCGTAGCTCCGTGCATGCAAAAAAATGGTACTCGTTGATTCCTTCCTTTTTATTTTCACGCTCCTGCGGATCTCACTCGGTGTACAACTAAGTGGAGAAAACAATCGATGTCGACTTTGACGCGAAGATTATACACCAAAAAAACGGGAGGGTGTCTGCTTGCACAGCAGCAGCGGCGGCAGCAGCAGCGTTGAATGCTATGTACGTAAGCGCGTACAAAAGGGACAAAAATACGCAAACTGCAGCAGTGTGCATTGATTAAGGCAGGCGTGTATGCACACGTAGAATCGATCGGCCTGAGTATACGTTTGCGAATTTCGAGTGAGAGGAAAGAGTGAGAGAGATAGAAAAAGAGTAGAGAGGCGTATTTTACGCGTCGACAACGATATGTATGCGAGCTTGGCTCCGTAAATACGTCTATACTATATACATATACTACGTACATCTAAGAATTCGAGCGCAGGTATTTCCGTGTCGAAGGACGGGGGATCATTTATTCCTGCAATTGAAATTGAAAAAAGAGAAAATCGATAGAAAGAGAGAATCGAGCGAATCGGAGAGACTGCAGTTTTGCGCGCGCTCCGTGTAACGTAATTATAAAAGTCGTCTGGAATTTTATAGCGCGCGAGTCGGCGTTCTTATTAAACAAATTGCATATCAGATTGTTTTTCCGAACTCGACGATAAGCTTTTATTTTTATCTCTATTTCCTAATTGTACTCGTCAGAAATTGACACTCGTAGAGAAAATGAACTTTGTATACGCGATCTCTGCACATAGTCTCGTCGTATTAAAAGCTGCGCGCATCGAGTGCACTGATTCTCTCTCTCTCTTTCTCTCTCTCTCTCTCTCTCTCGTTGCGCTCTGATAAACATTTTTGTCGATCCAATTAAAGCGATAAAAGAATAAAGAGCTTGCCTCGCTAAGTCGGCGTTCAATTACACTTAGGTTTTCTTAATTGCGCAGCTTGCGCGCCGATTCTCCGAGTGCAAAGAAAGCGGACTGGTATATATAGAAAAAAGGCGTGTCATCTTGATAAGCGTTACGTCCATATACTTTACAACGTGGATTCTTTTGCTCGCAAAGTAGCAACATCTTTTTTACGCCAAGATATAACTCTATTCTTATTCCAGCTCGAAGCGTTTGATACGTCATTTTGTACAATGTAATATAACTCTTAATCCTCTCTTCAAAATTCATGAGTAGTATTGCGTAGTCAGCTTCCCAGGATTGTGATTGCTGTCATAAATCGTGGAGTTAGTTTTAAAAGTATCGGAAAATTTAAAAACTGGTTAGTTCATAAATACGTTTTAAACTTGATTGAAAAATATTTGCTTGGAACAGAGTATTTTATAAGTTATATTAGCTGTATAATAACAATTGCAAGTTGTGGACTACAGAAATCTGATAAAATTAGTTATGAGGTAAGCAAGTAAATTCCGCTCTCACTTATTTCCTTTAAAATGGCTTGCCACTTGCAGGAGCGACTTTACCAGTGATGCGCCACCTAACGATCGGTCTTAAAGCTTAAAATGACAAGTGAGAAAATAATAAGTCCATAAATCGAATGAATATTATTAAAATTGTAGAGTAAAATTGTTTAGTTAATAAAATTAATTTCCGAACCACGAGAAAAATTTAGCCTCGAAAAGAGCATTGAATGAGGCTAGTACTTTGTAAGCTCCGTGTGCGATATAAAAGCAGCAGAATAAGTAGATGTCGTCGGGCGTTTAGTCATGTTGCTTGAAATTCCGAACGCGTATGCAGCCCGAATCTCGCCCATTCATCGTTTCTCGCATACATGCGTAGGTACATAATATTAGTATATGGTAATTGTCGATAATGGACGCTACGTTTCATGGGCCATAGTTGCGCTGCTTCTACTACTGCTGACGGCGATGCTGTTTTCGCCCTCCCTTCCCCTCGGACGATGCCAATTCCACGCCTTCGCTCCTAGAAGCGCTTAATTGCAGGATTATTTATGAACAAGACATGCCCGCACCAGCGACGTGTACACAGCTTAGAGCTCTCTATACACTATAGCTGCCGCTTTTTGACATTTCAGACTCGCGGCACGACTACGTTATACGCTTCCTTTTATCGTCAGCCCCGCGCCCAGTAGTGGCTACGCAGAAATTGGAGAGTGCAGCACCGACGCGCATTTATCTGTTGTACGCGAGGAGAAAATTTAATTTACCTCTTTTTATCGCCTTTTTTTATTTATTTATTTATTTATCTTATTTTTTTTCGTCTACCTATATCGATGATTAATTTGACGTTTGCCGCCACGCGTGTGGATGTTTGTGTTTTAAGTTTCAAGTGAGAAAGAGAGAGAAAAAGTAAAAGTTTTTCTCACATTCCGAGCGCAAGATTTTTTAAATATGTGTATCATAAAATAATGATGCTTTATTCCAGAAAAAAGTCGGAAAGTGTCGGAAGTGCATGCGCTAAAAACGATTCAAATTCTCTTTTTCATTGGACGCTCGGTATAAACATTAGTTTTTGAGGTCCTAGGAACTAATATAATGCGCGAACAATCAGAATTTCAATAGGTATAGAATCGATTTAGATTATACATAAATAATACGTCTTTGATGAAAATAATATATTGACAATTAAATTTATAATTCGAATTGTTAAATTGGCAAATATGTAAATATAGAGAAAATTGTAACAAATGATAGAATTAAAGGAAAATATATTTGGTCTAAAAAAATTATTGAGTTTGATTGATGAAGTAGTTCTAAGTAGAAATTCAATCATTGTGTTTATAACTTTACAATCTTTATGCACGGGTTTTCGGTGTCTGACAAAACTAGATTTAGCTGATTTTTTTCTACTTTTTTTTTCTCACTCGTCGCACGTAAAATTTTTGCCATCATCATGGACTGTCATTAGGTGTTTATTCAAATACAATCTGAATCTAAATATCTTGTCGCACTTGTCACATGTAAAATCTCTTCGACCTTCACGGACTATTTTTTTGTGTCTGCTAATTTGGTTTTGGTTTAGAAATTTTTTTTCGCACTTACCTCAATCCTTGCGATCTTCATGTACTGTCTTTTGGTGGTAGAACAAATGTGACTTTCTTCCAAATTTCTTCTCACATATAACGCATGCAAAATCTTTGTGACCTTCATGTACTACATTTTGGTGGACGAGCATATTTGATTTTGTTCCAAATTTTTTTTCGCACTTGTCCCTTGCAAAATCTTTGCGATCCTCATGGATGGTATTTTGGTGTCGAAACATATCTGCTTTGCGTCCAAATTTTTTTCCGCAATTGTCACATGTGTAATCTTTCTGACCTTCGTGAACTGTTTTTTTATGCATTCTCAAATTGCATCGATCCCCATATTTCCTTTCGCACTTGTCACATGCGTAATCTTTGCGACCCTCATGGACTATCCTTTGGTGCTTCAATAACTCGGATTTACTTCCACATTTTCTCTCGCAATTGCCGCATGCAAAATCCTTGCATCCTTCGTGGACTGTCTTTTGGTGGGAGAGCAAATGTGATTTAACTCCAAATTTCTTCTCGCACTTGTCGCACTTGTAATCTTTCTGACCTTCGTGTACTATCCTTTGATGCTTGAGCAAATTTCCTTTTAGTCCAAATTTCTTTTCGCACTGATCGAAAATTCGTCGCGACAGTGTCAGAGGGTGTTCGCAGCCAAATTAGAAACACGCGAAAGAACTCCGCAAGTGTATGTAGGTGTGGGTGGATGTGCGCGTACACGGCAGTCACGAGGTAAAAGAGGCGACGGGAATGAAAAGAACGAAAGAAAGAAAGAAAAGGTAAGCAAATGTATAACGTCGAGTCTGGTCGACGCATCGGCAAAGCCCTACACACAAAAACATGGCGCGATGGTCCAACAAAAAGCCCTTTTTATAAGCAGATTTGTAGCCTGTGCTCGTGAGCGAGAGATGCTTCTTTTTTTCTCTCTGTCTCTCTCTTTCTCTATCTCTGACAGTTGTGGTTGCCGTACAAACGTACACAAACACATGAGAGCCCGAGCAGGAGCAGCCGCATCACGGTTCGCCCGCGCGTGCTAAGGAAGTCGGGACTTTTAATGCGATTTGCGCTTGTGTATACGTATAGCGAAGGGGACTTGCAGCTCCATAACGCTCTACACTAAAAATGCGTTAATTCGAGAAGTGAAAGAAAAAAAAACTAGACATGCCGCCTTACGCGAGTTTCAAGTGTACGCGCGTATACGCGTCCCCGGTACATGAATATTGTAAGACAGATGTGCGATTTTTCTCCTTTCGCTGATGTGATTATACGCCGAATTTCGACTGCTTTTTTTCTCTCTCTACGTTCCTTTTTTAAGGGCGTGATTGAGTCATTCCGTACGTGCAGGGCAATGCGACGATGTCGTTATTAGCCATATGCTTGGCACGTGCGATTGAAATTACGCACGGCGCGCCACTGACACTGCTGTTTATCGGCTGTAATCAAAGGCCTTTTAATAATGCAACGTTAACTTGAGCTTTTCCCCCGAGTGTGCTACGAGGAGGGGAAAGCAAAGAGAAAGACTGAGAGAGGTAAAAAATGATCTCTATGTCTGTGCTCGTTAGTTATGTATGCCTTTCTCCGCCCACTTATAGTCTGCAGAACAATCTAACATTGAAACTCAAAGTGGTTGAAGTGGGGTTCGTCGCGACGCCGGTCTCCTTCTCGTTCTCACTCCTGCTTGCTAAGTTATAATACTATTTTAGAATATTATGCATACATTAAGGAACTTTGGCGGTCTAAGGGGCTCGAGAGGGCTGCAAGTGTGTAGCGTTTCTAAATTCCGAATTCGCTAACATTACCATATGATCGAATTCCCATTATTGCCCTCCCGGCGCAACTCGGATTATCAGCTGTCTTGACGAACTTGTTTTTTTCTTTTTTCTCAAAACAAACGTTTGGATATGAGGGAAGATTGTCTGAGGTAATTTTAATGGGGTTCAAACAATAATAAAAGTAATAATCAAGTCATTATTTATAGAACAATTATATTGTATCTTTATTCGACAAAAAATTTTAATGTCGATTTAAAATTACATGATTATTTTATATAATACAGAGGAATGGACGAGTTATGTGATATATTAATATAAAAAATTTTTTTTCAAATAAAAAATATATAAGTATGTGCATAGACATGACAGGTAATAAGAAATGACGATGAAAATTATAAAATAACATGAATTGATACAGGGTACTTTCATTACTTCTTTGTTTTAGTTAAATGATTCATCACGCAAGTAATAAAAGTAGTTTCTTGTCGCACTAAAAATTAAGTTTCTTTAAAATACGTGATTTAAATTAAGACAAAATCTACAGAATAATTTCTTCATTCCAACGCAGTGGTTTCTGCGTTAAATTTAATATTTATAATTTTAATTTATAATATATCCATTTTTACTGCCGGCGTATTTGTCTTTTTTTTCATCATCCGCTACAATTATGTTTTACCAACAACAACAGTTCCTTTCGGATCAACGGCGCAGTGTATGATCGGAACAGGCACCGGCATCGGGACGTATTCAATCCACGTGGGATTTTCCATGCGCACGCTCTCGCGCGGCACGAATTCTTCTGCCAGAGGATTGAGCGCCGGTGCTGCTGGTTCCTCGAGTACCTTGTTAAGGTGGAACTCGAGTTCCCGCTGCTCCATTCCGTGAACGCTCGCAGAGCGCAAGTATAGGCGCCAATGTTTGACGCAAGAACCTACACACGTACATGCGCAAAACAATAAAAATAAGGAACAAAAAACCACATAATCAAAGACAAAAAAATGTTGATTTACTCACCGATAGTCAGTAGTCCAACCGGGTCTCCGACAACAGCGACCAAACTTTTGGCTCGCGTAACTGCTGTGTTGAGCAGTCTAGGATTCGTCAAGAACCCGTAGTCACTGAGATTTCGCTCTGCAGGCAATCGACTGCAGTGCCTCGTCCGCACAATGCTGATGAATACAGCCACGAATTGTTTGCCTTGTACATTGAGTACACGCTCCACCGAGACATTGAAAAGTTTCCTCTTGCGCAGCTCGCTACGAATGCGAACCACCTGTTCCGCATAGTGCGACACAACACCTATTGAACCTTCCTGGAATGGACCCCAAATGTCGGCAGGCCACTTGCGTCGTAATTCTGATACTCGCTCGGCTATTTCCGCAGCTTCGATGTCGTTGTAAAAGCCTGTCGAGTTGTTTCCCTATAAAGATATCACAGATATAAGGCATTCCAGTAAAGTTGAAAAAAAAAGTGGCTATTCACTGTATTTCAATTTACCTTCTGAACGACACCCTCGCAAGCGTAAAACGTTAATGGCGCGTAGAGCTCGTGTCGGGGCAGGGTAGCGCCGTGTTCAATCTGACCTCCGTAGAATAGTTCTGATGTGAGCTTAACTATGTCAGCGTGAGCTCGGTAATTTTTACAAAGTTGAACTCGGCATGGATGTGGTTTCTCGTAGATCAGATGAATCCGTTCTAGTAAACTGATTCCTAAGCCACGTTCTCTAGCTAAGTCGCTGTATACTTCCGGCGCCAATTGCATTTGGTCACCAGCCAGAATGAGACGAGTCTTCGGCGTGGCCATTGACAGACACGCCAAAGCTTCGCACTCGAGAGCCTGTGCAGCTTCGTCGATGATAATGTGAGTCGGTGTATAGTCCAAGCCAGTTAGACAGCTCGACGTTGCCAAGGTCGAGATGACTAAGCCACAGTTCTCTAATTCATCGGGTGTGGGATCGCGGAACCGACCGTTAGAGTCTATCGGGCAGTATGGGCGCACCGCTAGATGTACCTGTTGCAAAAGACGAAAAATTAAAAAAATCGCGATGGAACCCGAAAATTAAAAACCAGTTCACTTTATAATAACAAAAAATAAGATATAACGGAGCGTTTCGAAGATCTTACCGTATTTAGTGTACGTCCTTTGTAGTAAATTCTGAGGGGTTTTAACCTCTCATCACATGTCTCTTTGTACCAGAGATCGAAGAATTCTTTGACATATAAATCAGCCGCACTGTTACTGTGAGTGCACAGAATAACTTTACTCTGTAGGTTGTTCACCAGAAGTATACGGAGAGCTTGGGCAATGGTCGACGTTTTTCCCGTACCGAATGGACCTAATATAAGTATTGGTGGTAGGATCAAATTTGATGGTGCCATCATTGCTGCCACGGCCTCTTTCTGGCGCTCGTTCAGTTGGCAATCCGTTAGCTTCGAAGCCCATTCAGGTAACCATTCGAATTTGAGATTTTTGAGCTGTTGTTGAAGAATGCCATTTCCCGAAGTTCCAGATAAACCGAGTTGACGTTTAGGGAAAATTAACTCAGGATCCGGCAAAGCGTCAATGGCTCTGTGCCACTCAGCGAAAGGCGTGCGGTTCATGACAAATTGTACAAACATCTGCTCACTGGTGTCGTGTTTTAGATTGAAGTATTCAACACAGTCTTTAGAGAGACGCGCGAAAATCGAATGATTACATTTGTCTTCGACGTGAGCTTCGAATATTTTGGGACCCAATACAGGAGGGGGTCCATTTGGGTCGTTTTTGTTGACCTCTATTTTTTGAACAAGTAAATGCGTACAGCTTCGTAGAAGCAGCCGACCGCTTTTTGAGTCTTCCGAAACTTCGCGACCAAGAGGAAACTAAAAGTGAAATGAACAAAAAAACAATACGTGTAATAAACAAATTGAACAAAAGTAAATCAACAATTTAGTTATAAATTTAGACTCACTTGTGCAAATAATTCTCCAGGTGCTGCATATTTAGCCACGGTCGAACCATCTGTATCTGAAGCTAAGATAAAACAATTAGATAATCTCAACTCCGTCACTTGATTGTAACGCGCAATCTGCTCTCGCCGTGCAATTTCTTCAATAGTCACAAGTTCATGCAGTATTCTTCTATAATTTTGAGGATCCAAAGCAATGGCTTTCAAAGTGGAGTGTGTCAAAAAGAATGTATCCACATCAGGTTTAGGATAAAAGTCACATAATTCTAACTCTCTTGGATCTCTATCAGTTACAAAAGGTGAATTGAAAGGTACAATTGACTTTGATGGTATCGGAACATTGTTGCTCAAGTACATGAGATACTCTTTAGCAGCTTGTAGACGAACATTATCTGAATCTACAACACAGTCATTAACCAACTGTCTTCTTATGACTGGGCAATCATCACCAAAGCCAAAAATCACATCCTGACAATAAGTTCCAACAGATTTGGCATGAAACTTAATTTCAACCATATAAGAGTGCGTAGAACTATTTGAACTGTCTAAAGGGTCTTCGATAACTGGAAGAGCTTCAACATGCTGTCCGTCAGCCTCAGGCGAGTGAAAGCAAAAATTATCCCCAACCACAGATAGAATGCCATAATTTTTCCTGTGAGAATCAAGTGCAAGGCTCACATTTCTTAAGTATTTGTCATCTGCAAAATACATTGATTCAATTAAAATTGTTCATTCGTCATAGGGAGTTATCATTTCAAATGTGTATTGTTTGCCATTGATCGACGAGAGAAATTTCAAAATTATTCCATTTGATAAGCATGCTTTCAAATGTAAATATTATTACGTGTACTCATGCAAAATCCAAACAATAACTCATGGGCAAACAAGGAGCATAACCTTAAAAGCTTCTCTATTATTATGATTTTGAATCCAAATAACCGTCGTGTATAAATAGGAAAATTATTCTAGTCGTGTCTCTTCATCTCCCCCTACGGTTTTTTTTTCTCTCGACACGAGGCAAACGGGGAAAAACCAGTGCGTGCCTTTGCTCATACTCTACAGGGCTAGCGTATATATACCTATATATATATATACGCGAGCGAGCATCATGGTTATGTGCGAATCTGGAAAATCCTTACCCTTGGTCGTGACCTCGAACGACCAGCTCCAGACGTAACTGTCGGTGGTGTTCCAGGTGAACCTCACGTTAAGGTTGCTGTTGGTCTGCACGACCGCGTCCTCGAGATTGTCGTCGCAGATGACGCTCCTGGGCGCCGCGGACCTGAGCCACCTCGAGCGTAGCCCGATGAGGAACTTGTTCCTCGTCGACGCAGCTTCGTCGTCGGCCATTTCGAAGGGTCTCGTACTTTACTCACTGTCACTGTCGTCGCGTGCACAAGCCGGGATGGCTACCCAACGATTATAACTATTTCTATATCAAGAAGCGACTGCTCTCTTCGTTTTCTCGTCGTGCCTACGTGGTGTTGGCGTCCGGAATCACTCATATACACACGTTATTTTCGCGTGCGAAATTGCGAGGCACACTGCGGGGAGATGTCTCCTGTGCTTCCAAAAACACTCGCGCACGCACGGCTCGAGACTCACTCGGTGTGTTGTGCGTATTATTATGTACACAAAGTCGTCGTGCTCGGCTCGACTCTGGCAGTGGAAACAACACAATCGATTGTATCGCGACACGCTCGCGTATCACAAACAACGACGGCCACGGCTGTACATAATACTCTGTATATTTATATATGTATGTATGAGAATTTCGCTCGGCGCTCGACACACTGTGCGCTGCTGTTCGTTGCTGCTGCCGCTGCTGCTGCCGCTGCTGCCGATGGCGATGGGCCTATTCGCACAGATGGGGGATGACGATGACCTCGTGCAATGAGTGTGTATGGCTGTATATATAGAACCTATAACTGTAGTCCCTATCTTCGTGTGTGTATTATGTACAAACACAGGCTGACACACACACAAGTTTAGCGAGATGAAAAGAGACAGAGGTATGGCGAGAAGGAGACGTGTATATAGGCCTCTACGCCGTTCTAAAGCGCCAGCGTGACTGTGTTTACATGTGTTAGTGAGGCTGTCGACGGAATATTTCGCTTTATCGGCTCCCCACTCTCTGAGGCGGCGCGCGCACACGCCGCAAAGTCGGAGCGGCGCTGCGCAGATTCTGCGCGATGCGAATTTAGGCCGGCAATGCAGAAATTCGCACGAGCCATGGAGAAATCGACTCGCGCGATGAGTTTGAATCGCGTAGCTGAGGTATATGCTTGAAGATATTCCGCGATGCGAATGAAAGATGAAAGGTGAGAATCGCGAAAGATTGAAAATTTACAATTTTAGTCTTTTTTTGCTACGGTCGATCAGTCGATGTATATCAAGCTAGCAATAGATATTCCATAAAACTGCATAGTGTTTACTCGGCCGCAATTGTAAATCTCGATTGCCAAAGATAACATTTATTTATTATTGGCTGAAATCGTTTTTCTAATTCTGCTGTTTATTCATGACGTTATGGAAGTTTCTGCTACGATTTCGTCTCAGTAATAATTCGCGTTTGCAAAAAGTACATGTCTAACGATGTAAGTCTAATTAAACTTTTTTACATCTGCAAAATTCTCGAGCTTGTAATCAGAGGCCATTTCGAAATTCATCATTTTTTTTCATCTTCTTCCAAGTTACATCGCTTTACAGTGAGTACTCACTGCTGTAATTAGAGTTTCGCGCTAAGATAATTAAACGTACTCGCTCTTTGGCCGTCACGATGCTCTTGGCAGTGACGAATAACGCGGAGAGCCATAGCGAGCTTGCGCGAGAGAGGGAAGAGAGTCGAGGCAGTAGCTGCTGTCCGTGCGCGTTTAAACTTCGCCCAAGATTAATTGTACAGTTTATATGACAAAAAATCTTTGAAAGAGACTCCGAGCTGGCAGCAGTACTGTAACCAGCTGCGAGCTGCGTTTCAGGAAAAATTTTGAAGAATATATATCGATGTTTCGTGCAAGAAATGTGAGCGAGTTCAGCATTATGGCCTCGAGCCACGTCCGTAGTAATTTTGTAATATCGATGTTGAGAAAAAGCTCGATTGCGCTGCTGCTGCTGCTGCTGCTGTTCCGAGCGCTTCAGAGATGCGTGTGCCGTACACGCCTTGCCGCGCGCGTGCAACTCCACGTACTGTGTGTTGCTGCTATATAAGAGAAAAAAAGGAGAAAGAGACAAAAGCAAAGGAAGAAATTACTGACATTTGCGCCAAGAACGCGTAAGAGAGAAAAGAGCTTGTGGCAACGCCATTCGCGTATAGATATACGCCCGCAGACGTCGTGCACTTCCTTTGGTCGAAGGAAAGAAAAAAAAAAAAATTCGTTGAGAAGCGTCCGAGTCACGTAACCCACGCACAGACACACACGCCCAACATTCAGACGCAAGCTCGTCGCGTAACGTTTGGGCGCGAAAAATTGCCTCGAGAGATCTTCGCCGGCTCGCCGAAGCTCTCGCACTCGTACAAAAGGCTATACGTTATTACGTGCGCGCACGGCATGCTCACAGGGGCCATTAGTACAACGTATACCATACGTATGAGTAAGGCGGAAAATCATTTCGAGAAGCCACACGCGTTCGTGGTCGAAAATAATTATCCATCCCGCGATATATAAGAAACTCGACTAGTGACGGAAGAAATTTTTTTTTTTACGTCCACGCGATTAAAAAAAAAACTCGTCCGATAATTATAAGAGAAGCGCGCGCGTACAGGGAGAAATGTTGAAAAAAAATTGGATTACTCGGGGATTTATTTACGCTGCGACGCGTTATGTAGTATTCGTACGAGCTTTTTATAATTGCAGGACAGATCGTTTTACTTCGACTTTATTCGATAGTTTCTCGATTAGACTCTACGATTCATAAATATTGCGCACAAAGTTCTGTGATTCGATTTTTTTCTTTTTAGTTTTTTGTGCTTTCTATTGTTCTCATTCCTCTTTTCTATGATCATGTTACAAAACAAACCCTTGTCCCAAAAAAGAATAAGGGAATTGAAGTTCGATTGATCTTGATAACCGGTTATTATTTGATTACAATCTTTTATTATAATAGTACATACAGCAAAGGTAACCGAATTATGTTGGCTTTTTCAAGCACTTTTCGCTTGTAAGGTATCTCTTTTATAGGGAGTTCTGTAGTGACTCCTGAAATAACAGCTTCGACCTTTTGTCCAATTCTCGTGTACGTACCAGGCCTTGTTAGTGCAATTTTCCTCATTTTTCTTTTACTGTTTTACAACCCTCGATTCACTATTTTTCTTCTCTGTCGCTTTTTATTTTACGACGATTTTTTTTCATCGGCTAAAGAAGAAAAGTCGTGAAGGTACAATTTTGACTATCGAAATATTTTTCCATCGTCGTCAACGACGATGTTGCCTCAGTTACTTACTATACGCAACTTTGCTCAAGCTTTAATTCGAAATTCAATGAGCACCGCGGTAGCGAGGCAGCACGTCGAGGTTTGCTCAAAGTAACCAAAAGCTTTGCTGGAAAAGTTTCCGAGGCCCCCCTGCACATCTTTCTGCGGCATATATAGCTGCTGCTGGTGCACCCATCCACCCACGCACACACTCGCGTGCGGCATAGAGAAACGAGACATTTAGTTATATACGAATGAAGAAGCGATAAGAGCTGCGACGCTTCTCAAGCCCAGAGGAAGTCAAGGGATTGCGGCTATGTATGTGCGTGAGTGCTGCTGCCTGCGCGTTATATACGTACGTCTGTAGGAAGTGTAAAGCCCGCGGGGCTCGAACAAGAAGAATGAACACGATGTCGGGATGGTGTAGTAGCTATATATGTACGGCGAGTGCTTTTGCACTGACTTCGAGATAATCGGAGGCTTACAGAGCTGGCCCGCGTTCGCAGTCGTTCGCAGGACCCTCGCATATACGTACATACATACACTGCAGAGCCGGAAATACGGTCAACAGCAAAGGCGCTGCTGCTCCTACTTCTGCTTCTGCTGGTTATATACGTATATATGTATGTTCACTCGTTGCGCAATGGTCAATGAAAGCGCACGGCTCCGAGATAAAAGCTCGTCGCCGAGTACGTAATATATAATGTGTACGAACGGGAGAATTCAAACTGATAGTATAACTGAGTGGCTTTGGAAAGAGAAACGAGAGCGAGCTCGACTGGAACTCCAGGCCTGTATAGAGCCTCTATACGTATACCACAGCCTGAGCCGCCCAGCACATATAGAGCGATATTTTTCTCAAAGCACTCGAGCTTGCGAGCATTAATGCTGTGTGTGCGAAGTAGCTGCGTTTATGCGTACTGCGTATATGATCTCGTTAGAAAACACCATCGGCGCGCGAAAATTTCCCCCGCGGTGCGTGCGTGCGTGCGCGCGCTTATTTATACGTTGCGCATTTCGGTGCCTACAGTAGGTATACGCAGCTTGAACTAGCAGAAAAAAAAACAACTCACGCAAGGCAAAATCGGATTAAGCTCGCGGCGCTTATGATACTGCGCTGCGGAGTTCATTAGTGCCTCATGCGCGCGCGCGTGTTATATGTATAATGGAATATATTATTATATATACGCACTAGGGCAGTGCAAAATTAAGAAGATTCGCACGCACGACGTGACGCGCGTCGAGAGACGAAAATCGAGTTTTTGAAGGTAAAAAGAAGGAATAGCACAGTAGTCGCGACGAATGCGAGGGCCTAGGCACGAAGAAATAACATATATCGTGTCACGATTTTCGTTTTTATTAAATCCATCAATGAGAGACAGAAGGAGAGGAGAAAGAAAGAGAAAAGAAAAGAGGAATTATTTACGCATTTTATACGACTGAGCAATCGATTTGTACACGCTTGGCCGAGAGCAATTTGCATGCGCGCGGAAAATAAAAGACGTACCGGTGGTTCCTGCAATTGAAAATAAAATCGACCGAGTATTAATTGCGACGCGAATGTGCGTATTATACTTTTTCTACGTTTTAACTGCGCGTGATCGTCCTCTACGTGATGTGTATGTATTTATGTGTACGAGCGAACCTAAACGACGCATTTCATCTGCAGGGCGATAAAAAACAACAGCCAGACCCTCGCTTTACTCCCACTCCTAGCCACGACATCTTCGACGACTTCCGAAACTCGGAGAATTTTCGTGATGAAAGTACGTACATTTTTTCGAGGCCAGAGTGCAGTGAACCAAAAAAAGAGGACGAGAAAAAAATGGTTATCAAAGCGAAGTTGCCGCTCGGTCGACACCTTAAACATCAGTCATTTGTGCGCGCGACAATTTGTGCCGAGGACTTTTCTCGCGTCGACTGCTCGTCGTCGTCGTCGTCGTCGCCGAGCGATGATCGTTCGGTTCGTTTTCCACGGCTGTGTACTTTATGACGCTTTTACTTTTCTTGAAAAGTTGGTCGAATATGAGCTTGGGCACACAGCGCGCGATTATATACACTAATGCCTCGGAGGAGCTAGCTACTGGTCTGTATAAAAGCCCAACGATGAGCGCAGGGTTGGGGGATAGGGATTTTAGTCGTTTAATGGTCACGAAACTTTTCGACTGTGCACTATACGTATGTATGAGTGTGCGTTGCTTGAGCAAAAAGCAAAAAGGAAAGATACATAAATCAAGCGCAATTAGAAAGTTCTTTTTGTACATTAGTTATATACGAGGATCGCAAGCTCGTAATGAAATCGCAGCTCTTTCCTCGAGACTCGAGAGTTGTTTAAATTGTTTGTATCGTTCGTGAAGCTTTTCTTTATCTATTATACTCTCGGATGTATTTCAAGATGTAAAATGATTCTGGTATGTCATATATGCTCGCAGCCGAGCTCCGAGAAAGTTGGTAGGAGGGAGAGAGAGCACGAACGGCAAAAGGTAAACAATTCCTCCATATATTTTGCTATATACCTCCGCATGGAATTATATTTATACGCGCGGCGCGCATAAGGGAGATTTTATCAAACTCCGGTGGCAATAATTAAATTTAGCCTCGTATAGGCTGCTCTCCCTCTCTCTCTTTGCCTCGCAAGGAGTAGTAGTACGTATAG